CCAAGATATCGAACATACTCTCTTTTAGGTATTTCTTGGCCATCAATTTTAACTAGCTCCTCGTTTCTACTCCTAAAGTTAATACGCCCAATCCCTCCAACACCCCACCCTCCCCCTCCAATTAATAAAACCGAAGGATACCAAATAGGATTAAATCAGCCCTAATATATCATAGCTTTTAGCATCTTTTAGTGATTTCTCAACAAGTTTGGCAGGCTGTTCCACAATCCAAACATAAGAAACACATAAAGCACAGCATATGACTTCTCATAAATTATTTTTATTCAATATGGTAATCTGAACAACAAAGAAAGCACACTAAACATGGAGTCATGGATATATATACACCACGGCAAGCCAAAATACCTACAATGCTAAATCTCCCACTTTGCACCCACATACCAGCAGTTTACCAGGACATGTATGATTTTAGACACCAAAGACAGTTGAACCTCTACGTCAGTATAGGAATGCTAAGCTTCTAAGGGAAGCATTATGCCCACTATGCCTCTAATCATACAGCCTCAAAAACTGACATATTTAAGGACATGTATAATATTCGACAATCTCTACTCTTCGTCTCTTTCTAACCCGTGAAATTCGACATACCACGATTCCTTTTAAAAAACACGTTGAGGTTGCACTTCATGACCTTTGATGGATACCTATAAGACTCAAGTAAAATTCCAGCCCAATGCACCCTAATAATCAATCACAGCCCTCAGATCCAACTTGAAATCTTCAATTGGTAGCATCTAAAATTTCCACAGGATAACATCTCTCCAATATATTCAAACTGCGCCTGCCTTTCTTTTGTGAGATGCACTATCCATGAAATAGTTAAAATAGAATAGAAATACATAACAGAAAAAGGGGGGATATCCCCCAGAACTAGATTTTTGTTTTATAAATATAAAATTAGTCTTATAAGTGTACAATTATATCAGCTTCAACAACTTCTGACTTGTACCATTTCTCAACAACAAATATTTATGAAACAATACTTTGTAGAAGATGGCATAAATATAGAAAACAAGTCAATAACTGTAGTTCACATAAGTACTTTTGTAAAAAAAACCTGACAAACTAGCTACCCGAGTTACTTGCAATGCAAACTGCGTGGTAGACTAGAATGCCTACTCACAATTGAAGTTAGCGAAAGTTATCCACAAATATTATTTCCAAACCTCATGCCAATCCCAGGACCAAAACATATGTACAGAGATAAATGGCAAATGACTCCTCAAAAATTAGTGTCTCTCTAGTCATCATCTCCCTGACTTGGAAAACCATAATCTCGGCACCATCTTTGACATTAAAAACGTCCACAATCTTCTGTGTTGCAACCACCAATTTCTCACCATCTAGTGATATTTAATGGGCCAATGCTTCCTCAACCTCATCAAATAGTGTAAAAGTTTGAGAACTTGAAGCTGCAAACTTTTTTTTTGAAAGTAACAATGAGTATGATATATAGTGATGCTGCAAAATTTGATTAACAGTTTGTCTAGCATCAAAAGCCAACCAAAAGGATCACCCCCAACAGGACGAAACACCTAATCAGGACCAAAGACTGAACCAACATGCCACTACCCACCTTGAAAGGCATAGAAAAAAGCTTCACAGAAAAACAATTTACAATGCAAACTTATCTTATTGATCCTGATATAGGACTAAATACCTCCTCTTGTATAACAAAAAAAACTCCTCAACTGCCTGTGTTCTCATTATCCTGGAGGTCCCTCACTCCCTCCTAAAGCATATGTTATCGAACTCCCAGTGACCCTCACAAAACATCCCAAACTCCAGCATCTAGATCTCATGCCAACCCCATCCTCCAAAAAATAAATAAATAACGCCTTAGATAGCACCCTTTTGCACCAAAAAACCTCTTAAAACCTTCCCTACAATGATCCCAACCCTAATAGTTGTCCCATTCTAGTCTAGCTTTATTTTGTATATGTTTATATATGATTGATCCTCTGTCACCTGTAGCTCAACCTTGCTAATGAACATCCATGGCGTTTCAACTCCTTACCAAATCTCTAAGGCTGCTTGATTATTCACCTCCTTACTCTTTACAATTCCAAATTTTTAGCCCTAAAACCTCATCCTAATTCACCAAATTGAATTATAGGACCTTGCCACACCTATAAGCATCGGACCCCAATAGATCACCGTAGGATTTTGATCTAAATCTCAAGGTGAGATTTGAATCCCTCTCCCTCTTTATTAAAAAAATACTTTTTTAAGTAACTTTTTTAAGCAAATCTCTCTTTCTCACTTTCTCTCTCTCCTCTAAGTCGTACTCTCTCCCCCTCTTTACTCTCTCTCATTACTTTTTCTTAGTAACTCTCTCTTTCTCTCTCTTCCTCTTTACTCTCTCTCGCCGTTCTCTCTCTACCCTCCCTCTTGCTCTCTTCTTCCCACAGGGTCAGGTGCCGGTCCATTGCCACCCCCATAGAGAGAGAGGAGCTGGCCAATCTATTAAGCTTTTAAAGAGAGAGTTACTAGTACTACTTACTACTGTGAATATCAAGATGCATGGCTTATAGGCAACTACAAGCCATATCATGTATATAAGACTAACAAAGATATATGAGAGAGAGGGAGGTTCAACAGAGAGGTTCTCTTGGGGTTAATAGAAAGAGATTCAACAGATTGAGAGAGAGAGAGTTGGTATCAAAGGTCTCTTGGGGTTGGGGTTAATAGAGAGATTTAATAGATTGAGAGAGAGAGTTCGTATTTGCTCTAAGATGGATTCTCACTAGTGATTGTATTAGTGGTAACGCTGAGATGGCTTCTCTCTCCATTGCTTTCCCATGCAATTTGATGAGAAAGATTCTTTCTCTGCTCCCTGTTGAATCCATTCTTAGGTTCAAATCTGTTTCAAACGCTTGGAATGCACTTCTGTCCTCCCCACTTTCGCCGCCACCCACTCTCTCTCCTCTTCCCCTCGCTCTCCAACTTTCCCTCTCCTGCTCCACAACCTTATCTCTTACATCCCTCCACTCCAACCGCTCTCTCTCTCTCTCTCTCTCTCCAAAACGAGAGAATCATATTTCTCTCAACCCCACTTATTCTGGGCCCCAAACACTCGAATTTCAGCCAAAAATCGTGCCATCAGCATTAGCTTGCAGCCAGGGCATGAAGTGCTTGATGAGAAAGGGCTTTTTGTGAAGGGCATGATAGGTTATTAGGAGGATAGAAAGAGTGGAGGGGGAAGAGAGCGGTAGGAAGATCGAATGAAAGGGTACAAAGACCCTGTAGGAAGAAGCGAGCAAGAGAAAGGGTAGAGAGAGAAAGGTAAGAGTTATTAAATAAAGTACTAAGAGAGAGAGGAAAGAGGTCAAGAGAGTATGACTTAGAGGACAGAGAGAAAGAGAGTTACTTAAAAAAGTATTTTTTTACGAAAGAGGGGGAGGGGTTCAAATTTCTCCTTGAGATGGAGATATTTGGATCAAAATCCTATGGTAATCTGTTGGGGTCCCATGCTTGTAGATGTGGCAAGGTCCTATAAGATTATTACTTATTGAATTTACATAAAGTGGTGTACATGATGGTGAAGAAACCACAAATAATTAGGATAAGGCTTGGATGATGATGTTGATGATGATAGTGTACATGATGGAGACCCTATGACTGGAATAAATGTAGTGACACTTCTACAGTGCAAGCTTTCTTTCATAACACCCGTTTCCACCAGGTTCACAAAGATTTCCTTGATTTGTTCATAACAATGGAGAAATCCAAATATTAATGTAGTAAAAATATTATTCATGACACCTAAGGATCAGTTTCAGTTTCTCCCTTCTTTTAAATATGTACCATAATACAGCAGGGTGACCATGTCATTCCCTACCTGAACATGAGACATAATACCACACTTTTCCATTTTTAAATACTTCAATTAACCCCTTGCACCTATTAACAGAAAAGTTGAATTGCCTCCATCATGAAAAAAGTATTATAGGTTATCCCATATTCAATTCTCCCAAATGGCTGAAGAAGCATATACCAGGCCATTCACACCAAAAAATAATAACAATGGTTTAGACCTATTTGAATTCAACTTAGACTCGCCCGAGTTACACGGAGCCGGCAGGGTGCCGAATCTCATTGAAAAACCTCAGCGAACAGGCATGTCACAGCAGTTTCAGAGATTAGTAAGTGAGCCAGACCTGCTGAACAGGGCTCAGACCTTGCCTGATTCCATGCCCGAGTCCAAGATTTAAATCACTTAACAAAATGGAAGGCATAGTAGACTATCATGCACCTTACCCACCTTCCACCAAAAATTTAAAATGGTTTATCCCAGCAATTAATCCAGAATATACTAAACAACAAAGTTCTCGGCCCTACTGCATATCTTTTTTTGCATGTTATCCTGTACTTTTCACGCAGCTCTTAGACTCCAAACACTTCCTTTCCATTTTATCAGAACACGGAACATATTCATTATAACCTCAAAATAAAATAAAATTCTGACCGAAAAATAAGATGAAATTAATAGGAACTAGTTGGCAACAAAGCACGGTGTAAGGGAGGTGCAATACCCATTTCAGAGTTTTATTGACTGTCCAAAAAGAACATCAAAAACAAAACAGGAAAGCAGGATAAAAATTAAATACGAATAAATAGATAGAGAGAGAGAGAGCAAGCAAATAATTAAAATAAGTAGATGCCAACATTTTTTTATTGAAAGAGAGGGAAAGATTATTGTCAATAGAATTCCAAAAAAAATAACATTTATTGTGAATTATCCCCATACATAGAGATGGAGGGAAAGGAAAACCCTTGCATAGAAGAACGCAGGAAACCACAATCTAATATTGGAAATAGATAGCCGTAAAACAACTATGATGAGCAAGGTATGTTAGGGGTTTAGAAACCTTATCTGCAACAAGAGTAATAAGATCACAAACACAGCCACAAACAAAGAAGACAAAAAGATAGAAATATTGAAACTTTCAGATAGAGAGGAGAGAGAAGAGGAGGACCTGAGGGCTCGACCTTGTGGTCTTCTGCGACATATCGAGCTTACTCTTCTCTAAAGTGACTGTCCCAAATGCTCCATACTCTTTCTTCATAGAAGGAGAAAAGGAACGAACAGCACCACTCGTGGCACCAGAAGCATTGAAGCAGCGTTCCAGGTACTCTCTCCCGCAATCTTCTCTCTCTATAAAGCCTTCTCGCTCTACCACACCCAAGCTCGCCCTTATACAAACCCTAGAAACCTTGCAACGCCATCTCCTCTTACTGAATTTCACAGATGAGGGCCCCTTTATGGGACAAAACCGAATTCTAGGGCATGGAAGACGAGAAGGCGAGGTAGAAGAGTCTATAGACATGGGAGAAGCTAGAGCCATGGTAATCGATGGCAAAACAGTATGGGCCATCGTATTAGGGCTTCTGGAACTCTTTCATTTCACTAGAATATTGCCTGGTTCGATGAGAGAGAAAGGCAGAAGATGTAGAGAGAGTAAGAGGAGGCGGAAAACGCCTTGCAAATAAGACTCCACACAAGAGGATGGAGAAAGAGAGGAGCAAATTTTCTGCCTTCCACTTGTTTTATAAGAGCAGGCGCACCCCATCCAAACTCCTGTTAGCTTATGTGGGAACATCCGAGATAACCTTGGCTTTTGTGATTTCTAAACAGTCCAACTACGGTCCCCTTTTTTGTTATTGAGAAATTTACCAAATTATATTTAAAAATTGAACTATTCAACAAGCAAAATATTTACTTGTGTATCTTGATAAATTTTAAAACCCATTTTGATGTCATAGAAATTTAATTAAAATAATAATAAATTTTTTAAAAGTCAATTCGAATAATACTGATAAATTTCAGTAGTTAAAATCGTAAATGTTATTTAACAAAAATTATTTTCTCTTTATTTTTTAATCTGAGTATGTCGTCGTACGTTTTACAATTAACAAAATAATCTTAGTAAATTCTCGAACCCAATGGATATATTTATTGCTGAAGACGACTTTTAAGGTAACTTGACTATTAGTTATAGATGAAGCATATTTATTCTATACTACATTGTTAAGCAAGAATTCAGGATAGCAAATATGGTAAAGGTCTCTAATTATTGAAAAGTTATAGGACACAATCTTAACTTTAATATAAGAGGGAGAACATTTGTACTTTATGAGAAGAAAGGAAAGAGAGAATAAAAACTCATAATGGCTGGAAAAGGTCGCATACAAAAAAAAACCCTTTTTTTTTGTTGTTTTTTGCTTTGAATAAGAACCTTTTTTCTTTCTAAGACAATGGAAGCCTAGAATCCGGGTTGCTTTTTTATTTACACATAAATTTTAGGGGGTGAATTTTTATATTGCATATTTTTTATCTTTTCAATTAATTTAAGAGGAAGAGTAAATATAAGAGAGAGACAAATAGCATATTTTAAAGAAAGAGAGATAAAACAATCTTTATCGCATATTTTCAACTAATTTGAGAGAGAAAGTATAGGAGAGATATCATATTTTAGGGAAAGAGAAAAAGAGAGCAATCTATTTCTCATCTTTTGAACTAATTTGATAGAAGAGATAGTACATACAAAGAGAGAGCAATTTATATCTCATCTATATGGGGAAGAAAGGAAAGAGAAAGAGAGTACATGTAAGAAAGAGCATATTTTAGGAAAAGAGAGAGATTGAGAGAGAGAATACATATAAGAGAGAGGAGAGAGGATAATAATCTATATTTTCATATTTTCAACTAATTTGAGGGAGAGAATACATATAAGAGAGGGAGCAATCTATGTACTCTATATTAAACGTGAAAAACACCCTAGTTATTTTTACTCCATGTGTTATTTTTTATTTCATAATTGCCCTCTCTCTTCCTCTTCCCACAATCTAAGGTTCTTAAAGCCATTCTCTTTCACTGTCCCTCTTCCCAACACCAAAATCCGTTCTCTACCTAAAATTGATTCCTAAAATAGATAAATAGAAAGAGGGATACAAAGCTCCTAAATCTAAAGTTCCTAAATCCATTATCACTCTCCCCCTCTTCCCAACTTTAAAATCTATTCTCTACCTAAAATTGCTTCCTAAAAGAGAGATAAAGTTTTAATAATATTATTGATATTATTCTAAATTCAATATAAATAAAAATATTAATAATCTTAAACTATTTAAATAATTTTAATAGTTATATTAAATATATTATTTATCATTATTATTCATTAAATATATTAAATACTACACTATTCTTATATATTAAATTATTAATTAAATTTATTCAATATATTAAAATTAATTTAAATAAATCAATATTAAAAATATATTTTTTGTAAATTACTAATTGATTTAATAATTGTATTAAATATGTTTAATAATTATTATCAATATTTATTAATATTAATAGATAAAAATATATAATATATTTAATAGATAATAGAAAAAAATGATAATTCATGTAAATATTATCTAGCTTTCTCTCACTATTTTTCTTTTGTACTTTGTTTCTCTTTATTCCTCTATTTAAAGTAGCATTTAAAACTTTTTGGTCTCACTATAATCTTATTTTATGACAAATAGTATATCTGAATTATTTATTTCTTTCATGGTTTTAAGTAAATAATAATTATTTAATAAAATTATTAAATTATGTGGATAAAATCAATAATCTCTATGACCACATTATATTGAAAATATTTTTCAATAGTAAAATATGTTTCGGTGATAAATATTAAATATCATGTGCAACGCACATTGCATGTGCATATTACTAGTATCTCATCTATATGAGGAAGAAAGGGAAGAGAGAGAGAGTACGCATGAGTTTTAGGGGGTGATATTTTATATTGCATATTTTAATCTTTTCAACTAATTTTATAGAGAGAGTATGTATAAGAGGATTTTGTTCATAGATAAATTGAGAAACCATCTAATTTTTCTTGGGAAAGGTTTCTATGTTTCCCCTCAGCATAGAAGTTCTATCCTCCCCCTACCATCCAGCCATCCAATTTTGATTAAGAGAGCCACTCACCATTTGATCTTAGATCCGACGTCTCAAAGTATTTTATTTTTAGCTTTTTTTATACAAAGTGTATGAATATAAAATTTTGTATGTGTCATCTTCTCATTGGGGCGCACCTATAAAAAATATTAAAACTAATTTTTCGATAAAATATAATGATCAAAATACCCCTTGAAACTTTCAAAGGTATTCTAGTCATTTTATTTTATTGAAAATATTTTTTTATAGTTTTTGCTAGTGCGAGTTTAATAGAATAATGGACGTCCAAAATTTGTTATCAAAATAGTTTATAGACATAAAAATTAAAAATAAAATAGTGTAGAGACCTGACATTGTGATTGGGACAATCTTAACCTTCTATTCAAAATGGACGGTTGGATAAGGGGAAAGATAGAACTTCTATGCTGTAGGGAAAGAATAGAAAGCTTTACCCGCATAAAAAGCTTACCCATTTTTTTTTATAGTTATTGCATGCTCTCTCTTTATGCATGTATATGGATTGGTTTTGGGGTGTCCGCTCTAATTCCGTTTTTCGTGCGTCTACATTTTGGTGTGCAAGCTATTTGGTAAAATTTCTTGCCCATATCCCATGATATTGTTTATTGGTTGCGTTTTTCCAGTCAGTGTTGAATTTGGTTTATTGGTTCCTGACTTAAGAGGAAAACATGGTTCATATTTAGAAGGCCTTTTTCTATCTAAACACAAGTTTTGCATGTAAGCACAAGTTGCGTGCTTTCGATGGTCTAGATTTAAGAAAATGTTTGAGCTTAAGTTTTGATCCTTTATATATTATCCTTTACTTGGTTTTCTTGGTTGGATTTGGTGGCATCTTTTGGAATTTGATATGCTGTATTTTTTTATATTTTGATGGTTAGATTAATATGGACCTTAATAATGTAAGTCTCTACTTATGCCTTGATTTTATTACAACATAAACGTGATGTTTTCTTCAATGGACCGAATCGTAGAACATGGTTTAAGGGTGTAGCGGTGTAGAAATTGGCAACCATTGATATTGTTGTGTTTTCTCTAGATTGTATTATTGACAAATATTTTATAAGTTTCGTCGAGTTTGTTACTTTTAACAAGAAGCACAAAGCACATTGTTGTGAATTCAGCTATACTCCAATCCAATGTTCGCAAACTTTAATCGGAACGGTTAACGGGACAAGGGCCTGGAAGTGGTTTAACAAGCCTAATCGGTAAACCGGTCAATTCAACCGTTTTAACTGGGTAAGTCCTGGGCGGTCAAAAAAGTGTCGAAAAAATAAAAAAGAGATTAAAAAATAAATATACGAAAATATAAAAAGCATATAAAGAAGGGTGCGGTTTGTATAGAGCCTAGGCTCTAAACAATCAAATTAGAGCCTACCTTCAAATATTGTCAATAAATGTGGTTTCAATACTATAAATCTTTGTGATAGTCTTAAAATATATTATTATCTTTATTCATAAATTGTAAGCTTAAAAAATAGTGTAGATCGATAGATCTATGAAAACTTGAAAATCTTGAAAATTGACAGTAAAAAAATACGTTACAAAATACTCTATTTCCAAAACTTGAAATCCTTTTTTTTTTTTGTCTATGCATTTTGACGTCGAGATGATAAATTTGAGGATATTTGGGCATGAAAACAACCTCTTATAGTGAAATTTTTGATGTAGGATCAAATTTAAAATTTTCCCTATAAAGAATGGTTAAAATAATACACATTCAAATGAAGTTGAAAATTAATGGGAAAAATATATTTTAACGAATAGATTTTTGAATTAAAACGAATATTAATGACAAAAACAAGTTTCAATCTTTACCATAATATAAAAATATCAAAAAATGTATTACAAACCAAATTTATTATTTTTTAGAATTTATAATTTATATATATATTTTTAAATACTGATCGATCGTTAAAACCGCATAAAACCGAAACCAGTCAGCCTCGATACTTTTTCTTACTTTTTTTGTATATCATACAAGCTGTATGATTTTATTTCATTTTTTAATATCCACCTTTTTTGTATATCTATATATATATATATAGGTATTTCTCCCACAAATTACAAAACAATATATAATTTATTTATGTAAATACTTATTGCATATCTATGTATCTTCTATTGTATATTTACGTCTATTTACATGATTACTTATTTCACTCTACGTACAATGTACGTGACTCGTCAGTAAAATAAAAGGAAAAGGTGAGTCAGCGGGTGCAAGGGGCTTGTGCCTCTTCAACGTCCATCTTTAAGGTGGACATTGTGTAAGGCTTAAAATCTTAAGTGTGATTCGACAAAAAAATTATTCTCTTTATTTTTGAATCTGAGTATGTTGTCCTACATTTTACAAATGAACAAAATAACTGTAGTAAATTCTCGAACCCAAGGGATATATTTAATGTTGAAGATGAGTTTTTAGGTAACTTCGTTATTAGTTATAGGTGCGTGAGGCTAGGGATATAAAATAAAAGGAAAAATGTTCTTATGCGTCAGTGGGCGCAAGAGGCTTGTGACTCTTCAATGTCCATCTTTAAAATGGATGTCGTGTAAAGTGCATGGGTCAAATCAGATACGGACAGTGCTAAAAAATCCCGCAAAAAAACACATTTTAAAGTTATAAAAAATCATATTTATTATAGCTTGGCGTAAATGAATCTCTAAATTTTGGATAACAAAACCACCTTTATATTGAATTAAAGAGGAGGAACACACGTGTCAATATGAGTCAGCTGACTTGTAGAAACCCCATCCAAAATAAAATAAGAAAGATTATAGATGTCTCTTGAATTGTACATATATGTCAGCCGACTCAAAGAAACCCCATCTCAAAATATAAATAAGCAAGATTATAGATACCTTCTGAATTGTACACATGAGTCGTAAGTGTTCTCTTGATATTAACCCCATCCAAAAAAAATGGTCGCAAGCGTTCTCTTGATAAAAGATCTATTTATAGGTACTCGATCTAAAATTCAAAGATTCACTTTACAAACGAATAATTGTGTATCTATTCATTTTGTATTTTAAGTGGGTTGTCTTGATTTATTTTTCATTTAAGTTGGGTGCTAGGTTGACCAGATTAATAGGTCTAAATTTTAGGGTCCTCAAAAAAATTTGCTCCCAAAGAACCACATAATCTCATTTGGAAGCACTTCAAATGTTTATTTTTTTCGTTTCTTTTGGAATATTAACCATAAATTTCATTGCCTCAAAGATAAGAACACTAGGACATTATGAGATCACCAAGGATGCTCGGTGAACTCCCCCTTTGGCAAGCGCATCAGCCTCAGAGTTTTCTTCTCTATAATAGTGCAACAATTCAAAACAATAAATAAGTAAAAGTGAACAAATTTCATAAAAAAACCCACTTAGTCGCCACATTGGTTTCACTTCTCATCTTGCCCATGAAATAACATTTGCAAATTCTCCTTCAATAACCTTGTGGCCATCCATATCCATGAGCAATTTAAGGCCTTCTAGTAAACCTCTTGATTCAGCCTCATTTACTATCGTGACACCAAATGGACCTGAAAAAGTCTTTAAAACTCGTCCTTTATGATCAAATGTTTATCATATTTTTATAAGAAATGCATCTACTGATTAACTTGTGCCGGGTATATGGTACACTTTAGGGCATCATCCCAATGACTGAAATGGATCGATAACAAATTCAATCACGATTTCACTCATGGCTCAACTAAACCATCGTAGCGGACAAGGTGAGTGCATAACTCATTGCATGTAGACTCAGGCCTCACGACCAAGAAAGACGGATGGACACTGAGTTGATGTGCTCATGTTGGGCTGGTACATTAGGTTTGCGTTAAAATAATTTCACATTAAAAAATTCTTTCATGGTTATGTGAAGGAATATTTTCACACCAATTAATCAGATAACTTTTCCATGCGAATGCGAACCAAATGTGAAAATTCAATAGAAGCAGTGGCATTGCCAGAGATATGGGTGAAACAATTAAGTCACGGTGATTTGAATTGCAGGCGGGTTGGATACAATTGATGCTAGTAGCAACTAATCGGTCGTCGGTTGCTAGACCTCAAGTCATGTCACCATGTTATCTTGGATATTAATTAAAATAATTGTACTTAATATCTATATAAACTCGAGCCCTATATATTTGAAGGGCATCTAGTTTAACACATATTGTAGTGTTACACAATACTAAAGGTGGGTTACAACTTTTCTTTACTCTCTTGCACGTTGGTATTGTGTGAGAAGGCTCGACTTGCCCTTGAGCAATTACATATCATCATTATCATAGTTTTTTTCTAATTAATTAAGGTGGGCTACATGAATCATGGTTTACCATTATGCTTTAATAAATGCCATACCATTAGTGAAGCCATAAGTTCCTATATCTTTTCAAACTATTTCTAACCACGTTTTTTTGGGCCTATTTCTTATCATTTTCAGCATTTCTATTTGAACTAACTTGCACCTCCTAACATATGCTGTGTTTGATCGGCGCTACACATGTCCAGCTCACTTAAGTCTATTTCTCTCATCTTATCATTTATTGGTGTCACACCTAAATTATCTCGTATATATTAATTTCGAATTCTATTATTTCTTGTCTTGCCATTCATCTATCTCAATATCATCATATCTGCTACACTCACTCTAGTGGTATATTATTTTTTATCTCCTGACATTCTGCCTCATAGAGCAAAATTGGTCTTACACCTGTCTTGTAGTTGTACTAAATGAAAACTTACCCTGACAACTACTTAAATAGGATGCAATTTTTATATAGCCAAGGCCCTACGAAAGAAACTAAATCCTCGTATGCCCTGAAATCCATTTCCACCACTTATAAAATTTAGATACAAATCATATAGATTTATGAATACTTGAAAATAAATGACCTAAATAATGCTTTGCACTATACACTATTTTTGGGACTCAAATTCGATGTTTTTTTTACAAGATAACGATAAAAGTCGAGATGCTTTGGGCGAGTTTTTTGGTAAGGCTTTTACTTGGCCTTATTTTAACCTTTTTCCCTTGTAAACACCCGAACTTCTTTGGAAAATGATTTGGTTTACTCGCGGGTCCATGTTGTTTACATAGAGCTCCTTTTCCCACTCTATCTAGAGTGCGCGTGCTCTCCCGCCCTTTCCACTCTCTTTTCCACCGCTTTACTTCTCACTCTCTCTGGTTATGTAAACAAGGGCATCTCTCTCTCTACATGGTATTGTTTTGGCAGCAAATGCGTGCACGAGCAGTGTAGGGCTCCCATTGCATCTCCATGGACGCGGCAGCACTGGGAGCTTTACATTACCAGCCATGGAGTCTCCTCCCTTCTTCTTCCATGTCCAGGAAATTATCACTAAACCCCACATTTGCGAGCTTCCCGTTAAAGAATCCATGTAAGTTTACTTATTTTTGATGGCACTTACTTCCCTATTTGCTTGGTTATTGAAACAGTTAGGCATCATTTCTCTGGTTCGTGCTCTATCAATAAGGCGTACGATTAATGGTTCGGTATTGTATCAATTATTTTTGGGCTTTGCCATTGGAGTTTTAGGTTACTATCACATAGGGCACGGGCCTCACCAGTTGGGAATAGTTTAAAGCGATTATTTTCTTATTAGCTATTCCATAATCATCACATCTTAGTTTTGAGAGAGTAAGAATTTTTCTCTGAAAATAGAGTGATAGAATTTTTGGTTTTAAGTCTAATATAGTATTTTTCTGAAAATTGATGTTACAGAAAGTGTGAGAGAAAATTCGCGCTAGGACTGATATGGTTGCAAGGTTATTGCATGTTGTGAATCGAATTAGGGATTGTAAACTCATTCACAATTTGTTGATAAAGAATATAGAAACTGTATCTCTGTCTATTTAGACAGATTAGGAGCAGGAAATGCTGGCATTTGTTAAATATGCAATATGTCCTCGAGCCTGTGTGACTTGGATGCCCTTGTCCATGGTTTTTGGCATGTGCCGAACATGATAGACACGGCATGCATGTTTGACACATCAGAAAATTTAGACACTTTTGCGTAGCTTTTTTTGTTGAAATGTCACCACTCACTGTTGAAATACTTAATTTCCCTCAAATGATCGCTTCCCTCTTCATGTTAACTGTGTAAGAATGTGTTGTGTACATCTGAAAAAAGACGCATGTTGTCTGAAAGGGCAATCATGGGTTGCTGTCTATGACACTTGTGTCCATATCAGTCGTTGACAAGCTTATCCCTGTCTTTGATCCATATTCATCATTGGTGCCAATACGAAGGATATGTGGAAAAGCCCAATTTATGGGGAATTTGAAGTTAAATTTTGATGGGAGTTTGAAGTTAAATTTTGACAATCATGGGTTGCTGTCTCAGACACTTGTGTCCATATTAGTCTTTGACAAGCTTATCCGTGTCTTTGATCCATATACATCATTGGTGCCAGTACGAAGGATATTTGGAAAAGCCCAAGTATGGGGAGTTTGAAGTTAAATTTTGATGGGTGTCCTCACTTTCAGAAAATAAATTTGTTTGATGGAGTTCTCTTGGTAACGATGGGCCAATTGGAGTGGTGGGGCTTAGATGGACTAGATGTGGTCCACGAGATACACGCAGGTTCCATAATCTATTGGGGAGCCTGATTCTTGGAGGCCTTTCCCCCTTCTCCTTTTTGAACTTTGTTTAGACCCCTCAATGGCATGCTTAAAATTTTCGAAGCACCCCTTTGTTGTTTTATTGATTTTTGGGCATTTATCAACATTGGAGACTGGTAATATTTTAGAGGTGATTTTAGAGATGGCTTATAATCTACTTTGGAAGTGTTTGAAAAGTCGAACTTGGTTGCTAACTTCATCACCAGCAAAATCGAGTCAACTTGTTTTTCAAAAGAACTCAGCAAGTTGTTCTAATTTTTGGTTGAAGAATATAAAAAAGGAAAATGTCTATCATGGGGATTGAACCCAGTTCTCTATGTCAGTCATTCCATGATGCTTTCACGTTTGAAGGAACTACCCAAACTAGCATAGAAAATCATATAAATAAAAAGCACAGAATATGCTCTCTTAATGAGTCGAATTGACTTGGACAAGTTTTCTTGATTCAAAATGAGTCCTATTCTGATTTTTGCACCTTTGTATTATTTAATAGATAAAAAATCCAATGTATGGCAAATAAAAAGAGAAATATCATGCTATACATGATGATATCTTGTATTGTTTCCATGGCCATGACACTTATTTTGATAATTAAAGCATTACCCATTTTCATTCTATATAATTCCTTGATCCACCAGTACCCAATAAAATGTTTTCCTCCACTTCTTGGTGGTTCTTGCTTGAATGCACTTCTTGTTCTTGTAACAAAGATGATTTAATTGATATGATTGCCTCTATTCTGGTTATACAGGTGGGTGGGCCTTTCATTTTTCCTGCTCAAGTCATTGTGGTGCTTCAACATGGGTTCATCCGTGTGACTATCCATCAGCATATTCGAGAAAGTCTTTCTTACTTATGGAGAGAAGGCACTTCTCATTTAATATTGACAAAAGATTTCCTGTTCTCTGTTCCAATGGGTACCAAAATGGCAGTTTGGAGGATGGATCAACGCAATGCCAGTCATCTTTATCTTCTGTGATGTTGGAAGATGGCGATAATGTGCTGCATTCAGTTGATGACAGTGCCTTGAACAGTCACAGCTCCAAACCTATGAAGTTTAAAAATCGATACCTAAACATGGTTCGTCTAGGATCACTGTTCAGTGATGCTGCAGAGTCTTTTTTTAAAAGCGAAATAAGACGGAGATTATTCGTAACAGCCATGCTAATTCTCGTCAGTCGTATTGGATACTTCATTCCATTGCCTGGCTTTGATCGAAGGTTGATGCCTGAAGATTACCTTAATTTTACTTCTGGTTCTGTGGGTAAGGATTTCTATATGTCCATTATCTTATCGACTGGACCAAATGAAAATGGTGTATGATTGTGCTAGTTACTTGATTTATAGTGCTCTTAGAAACTCCTAAGGCTTGATTTTCTGCAGAAAACTCCAAACCATCCAAATTATGATTAGATATTATAATCTTGCACCTTGGGAATAATGTTTTGTGCACATATTGAGGAGCCCTTTTTTTTGAAGTAACAGACGTGATATCGTCAGTTTATATTTGTTTATGTGAATGCTTTTTTTAGTAGCACATTATTGGCTGTGTTCAAGATTTTTTTCCAGTTTCTGAGGAGTAACCTTAATTTTTTTGGGCATATACTCACGCACGCACAAACACCCCAATACTATCGTTGGATGTACAGACACATAAATATAGTGCCAATATAATTACTCCTTGCTGCATTTTTCACGTGTTTTGTATATGATGTCTGTATATTTATTGTTTCATATGCATTTGCAGATGAACTAGGTGACTTTACTGCTGAGCTTAAGCTCTCCCTCTTCCAACTTGGAATTGGTCCTCAAATAGCAGCATCTATTCTTATGCAGGTTTGCAATATAGACCTCACAAACTTCTATTAGTTTTAACTTTGCATCAACACATTGCCAATTACATGTGGACTAGGGCTTCATTTAATGGTCCCTTTCTTATTACTAATGGATAATAATATTAACTAAGAATTGAAAAAGAGTTCAACAACAGTCACATGTTCTTTTGTTAGGCAAGTTTAGACTTCCAATCAAACCGCAGAACTACCCCAAAAAGGAAAAGATGGGCAATGATGCTTTGCATGTGATTGGTTATTCAATACCTTCTCCAGCCAGTTCATAATTGTATATACTGTTGAGATGTCAATACATTCAAGCTGGCGTGAGAGGGGTCAGGGCACATGTTTCCTGTGGAAGAAAGTTCTTTCTAGTTCAGTTTCTGCTTTTATAGTGTCCTGAGGGCATTCTGAATAGTTTAATTCTAATCCCTGCTACTACTTGTCCCTACTAGAAGTATTTTTTACCTAATTTGTTACTTGTTATTTATTTATTGGGAAAAAGGATCCTGTAAGACCACTAGCTAACAACTACAGTTTAGCCCAGTGGCCCAGATTGAATCTGAACCGATCCAATGGTCACGATTACATTTCGTATTTGAATTATAGTTTTTTTTCTACAAATCCAAATAACTTGAAATTGTGAATGTGTATTATTTAAAAATAGGAGAATCTAATAAAAATATCAAAAAATAGTTCGCAAAAAATAAATTAACCAAAATACCCTTGAATCATTTGGGAGGTATTTTGATCAATTTTTTTTTGCGAATTATTTGTAAATATTTTTAGTAGGTGCGCTTTGATGAGAAGAATGGACACCTAAAATTTCATGTGATTTGAATTTGTAAAAAAATATTAAAATTATATTACGAAATGAGATTGTGACTGTTAGATCGGCCTAGATTCAATTTGGGCCGTCGGGCTAATACTGTAGCTGTTAGCTAGTGGGCTAACCTCAGATTCTCGCTTATTTATGTGTCTATTATTAAGCGATATTTGACCTGATGTTACTTTCTTGAGCAGGTATTATGCCACCTTCTTCCTTCACTTGTGAAGCTAAGAAAAGAAGGCTTAGATGGTCATGAGAAGATTAAGGGCTATATGTAAGTTCTTTCTATCCAAGTATTTAAGTAAGTTGCTCTGTACAGTTGGTTGCATCTATTTGCTTGGTGTTGGGCTCAACACTGAATATTATGTTTAAGATTTGTTTGTAATTCTTAAAGACATCTGTGAATTTCAGTTGGTGGATTTCTCTTGGCTTTGCAGTACTGGAAGGTGTTATTATTTCTTGTTATTCCCTTCCTTATTCGATATATGCTGCTACTCACAGGTATTTCAAGCCTAATCTGAGACATTTTGTCATTTCAATTTCACCTGAAGTTGTTAAATATATTTACTTGTCTGCCCTCACATGTATTTCTGATGAACATGCAATATGGTTTTCATGTCCTTGTAAAGGATAGGTGTGCAAATTGTGCCATTAGATTCCCGATAATTTATTTTCATTTCAATAAGTAATGTTTGACATGGCTACTACATGAAATTACTATTCTAATATTTTTCCCAACCGGTAGTACGTACTTTATTATGCTGTAAGAACTCTTTGAAATAGACGATGATCACTAGATTATATTGTAATCTTGAATACAAGTATAAAAGATGATTTTCATGTCATAGAATTGGTATCATTATTAAGGATCCAATCCGGAAGTATAGTGCTTGCTTGAAAATTAAAACAATATACCATCTAAATGCTTTTGGTTGCTGAAATGGAGTAGACCATAGTTATAATTGTAGGATTACATTTTGCTCGAGATTTGCCCTTAGTAAAATGCCAAACCAAGTTTTTCTATTAAGAACTGGATTGCTGGTGTGGCTTTAGAATCAGTTTTAATCTTAATTATCCCTAATCTGAAAGTTAAACTTGGGGCCGAAAACCCACCTTTAATGTGAAAAATCTACATCAAACAAGATTTTTGGTTCCCCATAAATACCTTTAATTAATTTAGAGTTTCATACCTGCAAATTTCTCTATTTTTGCCTCAAGAAACATGTCACTAAATAACCAGGTACGCTATTTTTGCCTTTATTCCTGGATTGTAGCATATTTTCATTTTCCATCTGCATCTCTACTCATTTTTTACATAGTTACTGAAGTGGGTTATTAGATTATAGTCATATTAAAAATTCGGTGAGATTGGCTCTGAGTCTCCTAAGTCACTTGGAACCAGCTCCTTGCCAGTTCCGGATGACCCCTATTCTAGTAACTTGAGTCTTGCCAAGTTTTGACCACTTATCTACTGAGTCTTGCTTACTCTTATTGAGTCTGACTGGATCTTTAAAATTACCACTTATTCTGTACTGAGTCTTGACTGGACTTGGGACTCGCCAAGCTGACTTGGGCTTGCTCCCTACCCAGTTTTATGGTCTTAATCATTGTGTTAAACTATAGTGGGTTCTATCATTTGGCCCTTGGATGTGATATAAAGACAGACAAACAAAGTTAAATGTGATTTGATTTGTGACGGTCAACAAATTTACCATACCTCTTAAATAAAAGTTAAATGTATTTTGCTATATTTGTCTTATAGTATGTTATTAGATTTGCTATATGTGAATTAAAGATCAAAGAATTAACCATTAACATAAATCTTTATGGTAATAAATTAGCATTAATTCTTGACAGTAATCTGTAGCCACTGACTTACTGAATAAATTATGCAATGTATCCTTTTTTTTGTTCACTCTTGGTGGCTTATAGCTGAACCTTTTACAAATTATTTTTCTGATCTTTATCATGGTAAAGCTTGAGAATTGGTCTATGAAATTCCAAACTTGTGCTTGTTAGGTTGGCTTTACATTGCCGTAGATTATGACACGCTTTTTAGTATATTCTGATTATCTTTATACATATCACAAACATATCTGATGAAGAGTTTGGAATAATGAGTAGTAGTTGTTCTCTGTATAGCTACAGATTATCATCCTATTTAAACAATTCTCTAGGGAATTTTGAGCAATTTGATGATTCTTGGCGATGTTTTCAATGACAGATTACGGCATGTGATTATAAGTACATGTTTATTAGTTTTTGGAGCAATGTCTATGACAGGGATCTGCGACAAAATAACTGAATCTGGATTCGGTAAAATCATGCGGATTATCTTCTTCTCCTATTCCCATTTTGATGTGGTCTCAGTATGGGCTCCGTGTTGGCTTCTATTTACCTTTAAATCTGTATAATTGGTATTTCCTGTCTTTGTCTTGTCGTTTCAATATCTGCCTAACCTGTAACTAATTTCTTTGACCCATACAACCATTGGCTGGAGTTCCCTGAAGTTGTCAATTTTTTTCATCTTTAGACTATCTCAAAAAATTAGAAAATTTTTGTTTAGATTGCATTAACTCTCGTTTGGGTAAAACTTATATCATGTAAAATTCCTTATGTTAAATATTTAAAACTGTAAAAGTCTGTTTGCAGATATACTGAAATAGAAACTGGTTGTAAGTAAAAACTTCTCACAAATAGGAACTGTTGTCCCCCTTTCAACTGTGATTCAAACAAATATTGAAGGAAATTCAGTATTTTGTCTAAAATAATATTCAAGGATTCTCAAGCTGTTGCATATATCAATTGATAGTTTCCAGACAACATAATTAAACATTACACTGATATCTGTCGATATAGATCTCAATATTTATTCCAGAATAGTGGTTTATGGAATGAGCTTTAAGCACGGGTTCCAAGCATCTATGGTGGAAATAAATCTTTTAATGAAAACTTTTACTCCAAACTCAATGCTGTGAAATTGTATGAAATTGTGTTTAAAGATTCCTGTGAGTGCCTTCTGTTTTTACTCTGATTATTGCCGTCAAAGCATGTTTAAACATTTGAGCATTAGTGTTTTGGATACATAAGGAGGGTACTGAATTACACTGGTAATGTATTCTTTGCTTCCATTTCTCATTGCTTATTGTCCTTGTCCAGGTCAGGGTTCATCCTTGATCATATGTGTTAGCATATTAATAGGGTACACTGAGACATTGTACAAGATGTTGGCTCAGTTCTCAGGTACATAATTCTGCTCATGGCATAGAATAGATCAGAAAATACTGTTTAATTCTGTCAAATTTTATTTTTTCAGATAGTGCATCGTTAATTGTTGCCTATGAAAATACTTCTAGATGGTACTTCGGAGTTCATAGAGGTTTTCTTTTTCCTAATTAATTTGGTACATATACCATTGCAGGCAGCATATTCAATTGGTGGCCTTATGTGCTTGGATTACTTGGCGTTTTCACTATAGTTACCATGTGGGCTGTGCTAGTTACTGAGGGTTGTAGAAAAATCAAGTTGCAATATTATGCTTTTAAACTTGCTTCTTCCACAAGGTCAGAATCTCCATCCATATATGCAATATTAAGCTTTTAAACTTGTTTCTTCCACAAGGTCAGAATTTCCATCCATATATGTACTTGCTCTGGTTTTCATCTTCTTACATGTATGTTTGCTCTGTTTAGAAAATGAGGCAGAAAATTGTATTATTGAATCTGCTTGTGTATTCTCTGTATGTATGTATTGTTTTGGTGTTCTCTTTTTGAACAGTTGTTTTGGTTTATTCTTGAACTTCATTACAGTTTTAGCACGTTCTTTTCATGTCCATTAATATTCAAATGGAACTTTTTGTAATCACTGGGAGTAGTGGTTGCAAAACCTGGGGAGATTTACAATGACTGCTAGATACTTTGGTCTAGTTGATTGATAATATTGACCTATGATTTTGGCACTTATGGTTTCCACGGTTCCATTAATCGTACCAAATTTTGTTAATAGGCTGTTTTTCCCCTCCAGTGTTTTGGAAGCAATGAAGGGCCCACCTCGGTCCACTCTTGTATTCATGGTGGATGAACTTTTTTGGACCCCATGTATCAAAGAAACATTGCCAAAACACTTCTAGTAGTTAACCAAATAAAAAATCTGTTTTCCCTTTTCTTTCATTATCGGATAACGCCATTCCTTTGGTAGAATTGTTGAGCCTCCAAACAGGTCGTGAAATTTTATAAATCGTTAAATGAAGACTTTTCATGTCGATAATCATAAATGCCTTGGTGGTCTATCTATTCATTTTGCATGTATCCATTGTGCTTTCATGCATGTGCTTAAAAGCAGAGTTTCAAAACCCAGCAAGTTGACTGTGGACTCACCTAAGTCAGCTTTCTTGGACCCCTAATGAGTCTGCCCACTCTCCAAAAGAATCGCCCAATTTTTTGGAGAATCGGCTGAGTTTCAATGACTCGACAGTGGTCGGGGCTATTCCAAGTCGTGAGCCAAGTCTGTCTTTTTGAACTCTTATTTAACTACATTGTATACTCAAATAAAGTTCAGTAGAGACTCACCTGAGTTTTAATAGTCGACCAGGGTCAGGGCTATCCCGTCCTGAGCCAAGTTTGTCTTTTTGAAGTTTGAACTCTAATTTTAGATTGTATGTTGAAATAAAGTTTAGAACATTAGAAATAGGTTAAGTTTTTGTGGATTACTTTTATGATAATATTAGAACATTATATATTACATTGTCACATGTTATTACATTTTTAATGTACTTATGGAACAATTGAAATGATCTTCACACTTTCATGTGCATCAGTACAATCTAAAAACTCATCATTGAAACAATCATACAAATGCATGACAAAAGTTCATTCTTTAGTAGGTTTAGAGGATACTTATCCAAATCAATGAAAATATTTTGGACACTTGCTATGATATTTGCCCTTCATCCCATTTTGTCAATCATTGTATAGAAACATGATGCTTCACTCATCTAGCAAATGGTTATGCAGGAAACTTACTTCAATTATTATTCTGTTGATTGTGTTTCTCCTTCGCTCATCTAGCAAATGGTCATGCAGGAAACTTACTTCTATTATTATTCCATTGATTGTGTTTCTTCGATCTCAGTTTTAATGTCATTGAGAAGATAATATGGAGCATGATTGTTGCCATTGGATTTCTGTGCTATGCAGAGATGATTCGCCGATTACTGAGGTGGAGCCTTATATTCCTTTCAACATTAATCCAGCAGGAATGCAGCCCGTCCTCACAACCACCTATCTATTGGCATTTCCAAGCATTATTGCAAGGTTAGTGTTATGTACCATTTTCCCTTTTGGTCATCCGTCTTAACATATTTGTACTTGTTGTAATGAGAAATTTGGATTACTCCCGTCTACCATTTCAGCTGTGAGGTGATCGAAGGAACTTTTTACTGACTGGTAAACTGTTTTTCATGTGGATCACATTTGTTTTGTATTAAGGGGGACCATTTGAAAAAAGAGAATCTTTAGTGACTCATTTGACAAGGTACAAATTGGTTTGGTCTTCTATAATTTCATATTTTGTAGGGTGTCACATGGTTCAGTGGGTTCCATCAGTGTTCTAAAACTCGCAGAGGCCCACTCAGACTCGCCTGGTTTAATTGGAACAAGCAGCCTTTCAATTGGAACAAGCAGCCTTTCGGTTTTTAGAGGGCCCTCAATTCAGTAGAGGCCCTACTGTTCATCGAACTGCTCAGGTCTCTGGTCAGGCCCTGGCAGATTTATGTTGTTTTGTGCAAGTCCTTGCAGGACTGAGTCCAGAAAATCCCATCGAATCCGACAAAAAGTTGAAATATAAGAGTGGTGAAAATCCAACCAACCTTTCTTCCATTTTCTTCCCATCCAAAGCTGCATAGGCCCTGAAAACATGCATTTGGGGGCATTTTTGTGTCCTCTAACTTGTCAACACCTTGGATTCAACAAAAAAGCCTTATAAAATCGCAAATCCAAAATTTTGAATTTTGGTTTGGGGTTTTCGAGATCTTCAGATCAAGTAGATCAAAAGGCCAATCTCAAATAAAATTAGGGTTTTTTGATTTAGAGCATACGAGGACCTACTTACAAAGATGGAAGTCTTGATTCGAACTGGAAGTATCTTTGTGAGAATCGGCTTTTGAGACTTTGGGTAAGCAAAAATGGGTTTCGTACGCAAAAATGAATTTATATTGGACAATTATCATTAGATCTAGATATATTTTCTTTAATCTTGTATTTTTGTTTCATTCTATCAAAAATGGTATTTTTTTTTTTACATTTAATCTGCACAATATTGCATGCATACATATGAAAATCAATATTACATATGAGAATTAAAATTTCATTTTTTTTTATTCGTGTATAATTTTATTAGTTTTTATTTTTTATTTTTATTTTCCTGAAATTTCCCTATTTTTCCTAATTTTTGGTTCATTTTCAAAACCGGGCAAGACTCGCCGGGCCAATTTGAGAGACAACTAGTTGACCGGCACCTGGCCTTGCCCAGTTCCTAGAGCGGGTTCCATGGTTTGAAACATTGGTTTCCGTCCCTATTTAGCGGCTTATGCTGCATTTGGAAAGGGTTTGAAACAGAATTATGGGACATAACACTATTTTTCTGGGCGGTCAATGCTCAGGTTTGGGAGTGTTTCTGGTGCTACAAATAGCTTTCCTATATATTGTAAAATGCAGCAAACAAGCAGTATTTTACATTATGTTAAAAAAGAGGTTGGGATCCCTCTTTGGTTCAACTGTACGGTGTTTCCAAAAGGAATTCTGTCACCTGAAAGGCTATAGAAGGTCAGAAAAGCATTTGATTAGATAACTAATTCAAACGAAGCCTTAAGCTGCTCCAAAAATTGAACTGAACTATGGTGAGGAATGAGCAGCAAAGTTATTGGAAGCCATTGGTTTTGTCACAATATTTTAAATCATACAAATTTAAGTGTTCCCTTTTCTAGGTTTGAATATATTTGTTTTTCTTTTCTAGTTTCTGTCTCATATTGGATGATTTATGTGCAGCGTCCTTGGATCGCAGTTTTTGGTGCGAGTGAGAGATATCTTGAACCCTGAGGCATCAAAACCATGGATTTTCTATTCACTTTATGCATTTCTTGTCTTCATGTTCAACATATTTGACATTGTAAGTATCTTGAAACCATAGCAATTGGTAGTTTATTCAGAAGTTTCTCAGTTTTATTAATTGGTTTTGCAATTAATAATATGTTAGTATTCCTTAATGAGGACAAGTTTCAACATTGGCATGTGTTCCTCAAACAAAAGCCTACTCCACTAGGATAAAGTCAAAATAGAAGAAAGGAGCATTGAAGCATGGGTATTCAAGCTTGAGTAATACAAGATTGTTACGATCTAGAAATGTGATAGTTCATAATCCTTAAGTCCTTTATATGTATTTCAAATACTCTATGCATGATGCTAATTCCTCTGATTATTTTGCTGAATCAGATAACTTCTTTTGGGATACATTAGATGTGCAACTTAACAAATTTTGCATGCACAAAAGTTGCAAGGTAGAAGGAATCTTAAATTCCACGCCTAAGAACTCCCATAGAAACTATCACCTCTCTGTAAAATATCGTTAGGAAATATTGATATCGTAATTCCTGTAAATTAATGAACTCCTATAAAAACTCTCACTTCTCTATAAAATGTCATCTGGAAATATTGATGTCACAGTTCCTGTGAATTATTCCAAGATGACTCCAGATTTCCATTGGCATGCGGCGAAGACGATTTTATCCCTTTCCAGGAAGTTGTCCCCAAATTACTACAATTCCCTTATGATAAATAACCAAATTACCTTCACATAAAAGTGCACGAAAAAGGAAGCCAAACAATTCTGATCAATTTATCACAATATTTAAAGCTCCATGTTGAAGCTGTCTCATTGTGCTCAAGTGGGTTGTCTTGCATGAAAGGGGAAGGGTGAAATCCTACGAAGTTAGTTTGAAACAAGGAAATGTTTGTTGTGCTTTCTTCCAGGATACGGGAGCTTTCATGAATTACGTAAGGCTCATTCCTAGGGGACATTAGTCGATCCTCTGTGGATGATTGTAGGGTTATACATTTGTCTTAAGCTATAGGGAAATAAAAAAAAAGAATCCTGTTTTGTTTTTGGAATTTAAAAATAGTCCCGTGTATTTCATATTTTACATTCAAGTCCCACCTTTCGAGGGTATATAGTATATTTTAATCTTATTTCTTTTTCTACGTCTCCTATTAAACTCATATTTGTTATGCCCATAATTCTCACTATCACATACTTATAAAAAATATTTAAAAAATAATAAGTGACCAAAATAACCTTACAATGTTTAGGGATATTTTGGTAATTTTATTTAGTTTAAATTTTTTTTATAGGCATGTGATGATGAGAAGTATGGATATAACAAATTTGAGTTTAATCTAATGAATAAAAAAAAGGAAAAATAAAATTTAAATATATTATATGGTTGCAAAAAGTGGGACTCGAGTGTAAAATGTGAAATATATGGAACTATTTTCAAATTCTAAAAGTAAAACAGGCTTTTTGTGTAAATTTTCCTAAACTATATAGGCAAAAATAGCTGATTACTATGAAAGAACAATTGGGATTTAGTGGTGGGATCTTACCAAGTTCTATCGACTGTTGAGCCCATCTTTTTGTATGGTGCTTAGAGATACTTCTACAACCTTTTTTGCCTGATTAGAACATCAAATAGTAAAGTAATTGCATGCATGGCAATTTTCATGCATCTCATTTGCTGGTAGTTTCTAAGATACGTATGATGCTTACTGCCTCTTTTGCCTAACTAGAACATCATATATGACAAAGTATTAGCATGCATGAGAATTTTTCATCGATAAATTATTCAGTTTGTGGCCTTTGTGATTGAGCTCTTTCATGATAGAAGATTGAAGTGAATTAGTGCTATGTTTTTGGGTATTTAATTGCATTAACAGAAAATGATGTAAGTAGGAAATGTTTCTGAGAAATTGAAAATCGGGCTAGTTGTAAAGTTGCTTGAAAAACGTCTTAGTTGAAAATATTAGATTAATCTTCCTAAAATCATGTTTCTGTATGTACTAATCAAATTTTATGTCCTGCTTAACATGTAACGATCCAAACCTTTTATGTGCTCGCTAATTTTGGGTATCCATGCATTTTATTCACAGGCTAATCTTCCCAAAGAAATTTCAGATTATCTAAACAAAATGGGTGCGAGAATACCAAATATAAAACCTGGGAAGGCCACAGTGGACTATTTGACAAAAATTCAAGCATCAACACGTTTTTGGGGTTAGATGTTATTAGAATTTGGGAAGAATTCTTGTGCGCATTTAAATGCTTTCAAAGATATCAATAAATTTTTTTTTTTTAAAGAGTGTTTGATGTTGATTTGTATTATGTTTTTTATGCAGGAGGGTTATTGCTAAGCATTTTGGCTACTTCATCAACATTTGTTGATCATTATTTGCGACGTATTAATGAGGGATTTGGAATAGGTTTCACTTCAGTCCTAATTATTGTAAGTGAAGTGCGACCCCTTCACTACTATTTGTCATCGAGGTTGCTAAACTCTTCTCTTATTTAATCAGTTATTGTGGTTCCTAACTCATTGGAGAATGGCTTATCATTCAAATATGCGCTGGAATATCTTTTCTGACAAAAAAAGAAACAAAAAAAGCATATTAGTGATTCATCAAACTGTTTGTTCTTACCTATCTTTGATGAATTTGAAATTTGGCTCCATGCCATCATTTTTTTTAGGGAAATTTATCAAAATACCCATTAGAGATGAATTATTTGTCATTTTATGTGTTTGCAACTATTCCAACTCAGGATCATGCGTCTCTTGAAGGGTGTTTTGAAATGAATCTAAAAGATATGGGTAGAATGTCAAATAGTTCATGTTCTCGTGGGTATTTGGATAATTTGCCCTTTCTTTATTTCAACAAACAACACCAATGTAGAATTGGTGCAGTCATAAACAACAGCTAAATGCATGGAGAAAATGCACCATACAATCCAATGGACTATTGGAGAACTACAGTCCATTGGTCATCACCATCCAATCCAATGGACTATTGGAGAATTATAGTCCTTTGGTCATCACCATCCATTGAAATGATATCTGGTGATAGGAAGAGGGTGGGTGATCACCTTTAAGTTTCCTTTAAAATTCTAGTTTGTTGCCATTGTTCTCTCAAATCTGCCCGTGCTGATTTTTCTGGCTCAGGTTGGTTCAATCATAGAGTTGCGAAGGTCATATCAGGCATACAATGTTATGCCATCCTTGAGCAAAGTTTTGAGACGGTATGGAGTCTGAAGTTGAGAGTGTAATCAGTGAAGTTGTCAGGTAAACATTGCTTTTTGACAATCAGTAGAAAAAGGAGTTAAGAAAAACTCTTTTCCTCAGATCAAAATGAGCATTTTTTCTAATAAATTCTTCTCTGTGCGGTGGCTTATAGCGATGATATGTGCACGAACAGCATGCAGGTCTGGACAAATGATAGCCATAGATCAAGAGCATTTGTTCCTAAAAAGTGTTCCAGTATACTTAGGTGAAACCACAGAACAATGAATCATTCATGGAAATCTGAATGTTGTAGTAAATTTTTAATGGAAAAAGCAGATGTGCATATGTGGTGTAAGTTGAATATCATTTTCTATTGTCATTGTAGCTCGCAATATACCAAAAAATGGCTGTATTTCTGAAAGTACTCAAAAGTATCTATATTAGCAGATATGATCTCTTCTCAGGTTATTGTTCTTTCATTATTAATGAGAAATGGTTTTGAATTTTGACAGGCCATAAAGAGAGAAGAAATCACCATGCAATGAACAAAAATGACAATGCAATACCATACAAAAAGGAATTTCTAGGGAAAATAAAGTCAAATACAGCCCATTTCTATGCTGCAATAATAATTAAAAAGAAAAAGTTAATACAGGCATCAACGTTGGCACACCTCAAGAACCCATCAGAAAAGGTTGTTCTGATGTTGGAAAATCCTCCCATCGATTATCTTAACCACAAAATGTACATCTTGTAATATATTATTTAAACCATTAATTTTCAAGATTTCCAAGTATCTATAAATCTGTTTGTGCTGTATTATTTTTAGCGCTTTAAATTTCATAATTAAGAGTCATCATAAGAGTTTCCAGGAACGACATCTCTAAGATGCACCTTTGATTGTTTAAGGTGAACCCTTCTATAAACCGCACCCATTAAAAAAAAGAAAAAAAAAGTGGATAATAGGATTTGAAGTAGAAATAAAGGCTAATCTAACCAATCCCGTATCTGGGACACGATGAACCTGCACTTTACAACCATCAGACTTTGTAGGCCAATTACACATCAATTGCAAAATTCTTATAAATATTCTCAGATTTGCATCGTGGCTTTGCTTTGCTTCAACTTGAGCTAGGCAGCACCTTAGCAGCTAAAAATGATGCTCATTGCAGCAGCAACAATTCAATGGCAAAAATTCCGAGAGGCTGGGAGAGTGCAGTGAATCTAAGCCGCCAATCTCCTCAAAATGGCTCCAAGTAATAATACTGAAGAAATCTAATGAGGACCAAAATATGCTGGTTATTCAGCGAGATGAAACCTCAACAACTTTTTTACTGAATAACCAAAAAATTGAATAACCATGAGAAACCATCAATGCTACAATGGGGGCTAACATAGCTTCGCCTCCAAAGAATGAAATTTGCAGAACAGTAAAGCTACAAAATCAGAAGTCCATGAAATGGACACACCAAGCTCAATCATAGAAACCAGATTATACGAGGACTGCACAAATTACGACCAGCCCAAACCGGTAAATCCACAGCCTGTGTTGCATGCCGAGGGTCAATGAAGCAACCTGGAGCATACATTTTGCTCCACCTCCAAAGGTGTCAATATATCCAGCTTTTCCATTGCCTTTTGCCACCGTTCTAAAGAATACAACCCTTAGTTGTTTCTGTAATCGCTGATGCAGCTTTGCTGAAATCCTATAGCTTTGGTTATGAATGACAACAATCTAGCCATTCAGTTCAAATGAGATTTAGCCACAGCATAAAGCGGGCAACTGTGGAGCCTCGGGAGAAATGAGATTTGCCCACAAATTTGCCAGTTGGAGAAAAAAGTATTGCTGACCATTCCAAACAACTGGCTCCAGGCCTGCAAATTTAATCATGTAAAAGAGCAATCAATCAATCATTATGTAGTGATGGATCTTGTTTTTGGGAATTTCTGGGTAGGCTACTTCCTCTAAAGATTTTCGAGATTGCTGTTTTTCTTAAGTCCTTATCAATCATAGAGAAATTATTGAAATGAGTAGAAAACAGAAAAGATTACCCATGACCCAACTTTCTTTACAACCTACCCACAACCACTTTAATTATCGCAACTTTTACTCCTACCCCCCCAAGTAAAAAAGCTATAATTTTTAGGACCAAAATTCCCTCTCTTCTAACATCGACTACTTAACTTTTCCCCTAACACACAAAAAGGCAGTCCGTCAGTATAAACAAGCAGTCCGGCAATATCCCAAAGTTGTCCAGCACTGCCAAAGAACAGTCCAAAAATAAGCCCATGCGCTCCGGCAACAAGCCCATACAGTCCGACAATAGGCCCAAAGTGCGGTCTGGCAATCTCCCCATTTGGTCCGGCACATTGTGGACTCAATTCGTCATTCTTTCTAGTCATTGAGCATCTTACAAGGACATGCCCCCATCGTGTACGGATAAGGGTATTTTTGTCAAAAACCCAATGATTTTTTGATTTAGTGGACATTTGCTAGAAAAGTTTGTTTTGGAGGTAAAAGTTGTGATAAAAAGATTGGTTGGAGGGACGTTGTCTAGAAACTGCAAGTTGGGGGGATATTTGCAAATTTCCCAAAAAATTAACCATGAAAGGGAAATATAGGAAATATAGGCAGAGGTTGTGGTTTCTATAAGGTTGCAACCTCAAACAACCCAATTAAGGCGCACCTCCAAATGTTATCATAGCATGTAATTTTGGTGAAAAAAATTCTTAAGATTCTCTGAAAATCTATTTTCATAAGTAATTATAAAATTTTAAACTCCAAAAATGGTTAAAATAAAATAGATCTATAAACATATGAAAATCTTGAAAATGAATGGTCTAGATAGTGTGTTGCAAGATGCACTATTTCTAAGACAAAAAATCTTTTTTTTTTAATATCCATACATCTCGATGTTAAGAAGATCAATTAGAGAGTTTTTCAACATTAAAATAACATTTTCTGATGGATTTTTGAGGTGCATATTTAATTCTACATTTAGTTTACAACCTTATATAAACTTTTTCCATAGAAGGAATAGATATCTTTCAAATTTAAGATCATGTATATTATTAAGATTGTTTTTTTGAAAGTGTTAAACTGTCATTGTAAGATTTTTTTTATAAGAATTTCTTTTAAGCTTTTAATCTCATATAAGTATTTTATTAAAAAAAGAAGAATAAAAATGAAGAATAAATCTCGGGAAATATATATATATATAAGAAGATGATACTATAAATCACCTATAGGCGAAAATGAACAGTGATTTCACCTACCCTCATCACCATCTAAAGTTCATTGTACGGTCACGACTGTCCTGTAATATTTTATTTTTCATTTTTTTTTTCTACATATCGGAATGATCTGAAATTTGGAGCGTGTGTTTATAAAAAATAGGCGAATCTACGAAAAAATATCAAAAATATATTTTACATGAAATAAATTGACCAAAATACCACCGAAAAGTTTCAGAGGTATTTTAGTCAATTTGTTTTTCCTGAATGATTTTTTTTATATTTTTATTAGGTGCACCTCACTAAAATGTATACATGCTCCAAATTTCAGATCATTCCGATTTGTTGAAAAAAAAAATGAAACACTACTAGACAATCGTAACCGTACGCTTTGGACGGTGATGATGGTAGGCGAAATCACTGTTCATTTTCACCTATAGGCATTGGGAAGACTTTTCCATATATATATATATATATATATATATATATATATATATATGTTTGGAAAACCTTGCAATATTTTCTTGAGAATTTATGCAAAATTCAAGATATTGGTTTCTACAAAATACTGATATAAGCAAACGACATATACAAATGTTTTTTTCCATTCCCACTTTGCTCTTCTTCCCTATCAAGAAGTCAGAAACTTAAAATGACCCCAAAAAAGAACTAAGGTTTTCTTCAATTATTCAACGTACCTGGTATCATGTTAAAGGGCAACAGTGACAATTGGCAAAATTGACCCTCTCTTGAAGCATGATTTTGAAGAGCAACAATATCCATATTTCCTATAAACTCAATCGCTTCCAACAGAGCCTTTATCCTTCCAACATATTCCACAGCTGCATGTTCTAAGATGTTGCCAAGAGCTTCTCTCACTCCAGATTCTTTCCATGCAGCTGAGCATTCCTTCAAATGCAAAGGCATGTCCAAGGAAGAACTTATTAGTACCCAAGGCTTGTAAACCTCCAAAGATACTCTCAATATTTCTGATACTCTGTAAACTTCTCCAAGGGCTACAAAGTATTCCATGCCTGCATCAACCAAAACTTTTATGAGTGATTACCAATAAATCAATGCTGAATTGAGACAAAAAAATGTGTAGATCAAAACTGGGTTTTGATGGTGCACCTTGAGTTTCGGCTAAGAGTAACGAGTGAACATTTTCTTGCAATGCCCTCCTCCAGATAGCAGCACCATGCCTTAACTCCTTGGCACATGCTGAAATCATTTTAGACCACACGCCTAAATAAGTAGGTTGATCCACTACAGATGCCAATTTCATGATGCTTAACATGGACATTGCATGGTCAAAGAGTTCTATAGCTGGACTCAGATCCTCTTTTGCCTGAAACCCATTTGAAACCCATTCCATACATGGAAGCTTAGCTTAGCCAACATGCACATATATAATTCCACATTTACATAAAAATACCCATTGACTTCTTTTTCTTTATATAATTCCCATCCTTCAATCTCCTATAAAATATTAAATCACAGAAGTAAAGACAGTATCATTGAAACACAAATAAAGTTGGATTGATTTCCTTTGAATGTGACATCACAAAGACATTGAGAAAAGACACTTCAACGAAAGGGAACATACCAACGATAATCTCTCTGACAAGTGAAACTCTTCCTCAAACATTTGAAATGATGGTTCACGGATGATTTTAAGCATGTCTTGATAACCATTCTCAAGCTGATACTGATCAAGGGAGCCTTGTTTAGAGGACCATTGCAGTTTCTCCTTGGCAGCCTGACTTATAATAAAAAGGTCAGCCAAGAGTCAAATCCATACAACCACAAGGATAAAAGTAGTCTGATCATCCCCCTAGCATTCAATAAACAGATAATATCCAGAATATCCTTGATGAGATGTTATGTATTATTTACCTTCAGCATGAGATAGTACATTTATGGTTTCGTAAACACATTTTAGACTTCTTTTTTCCCCTATTATCCATATAACAGACATAAGTGTATTTATCAGAAATTTCTGAGCAAAAGAAGTTAAAATATCATCGACGAATGTAAATGGACGAGGATCATTTAGACATGGGCAGAGCCAACCGATATAAACAGTTGGAATTCAGAGGGAAGTCTCAACTCAAGGTAATGTCATTGTCCAGAAGCTTAGGAACTTGAATATACCAATCCAAACCATTCTGAACTGAAGTTCATTAGTTTACCCTAAATAACTAAAGTTCATCATGAAATCTGATCTATTCCATAATTAATAGTTGAGGTACTAAACCCTTTTTTCTTTTTTCTTTTTTTTCTTTTTCCTACATAAATCATTGAAGAGAAAACTTATTATGTCTTGGTCAAGGTACCGATATCAGCTTTCATCTTGAAAGAGCAGATTCACATAATTGACTTAAACTAGCATAAGCGGCCAAGCACCTTTCAGTGGACTTATAATGTTGTGTTCTGGGGGGTATGGAAGGGGAGGAAACAAGTGTGCGCATGCAAAAAAAAAAAAAGAACCTTGAAATAGTAAAAGTGAAAACAATTATTTTAAGCCTAAGTTAAAGTAAACCATGACTAAACCAATGGAAACATACATGTCCTTAACACATGAGTGCAACATATGTTCATCTCACGTGAAAGACATACTCTGGTCTAAACAAATGTTAGGGGCTTTCTTATTTGGGACCACATACTATGAGACCATTTTTTTTATATTAGGAGGTCACAAACACTTTTAGCAATTGGATGTGAAATCCAATAGATGAAAGTGTGTCACAACATTCAAGAAGTTTTACGTTGGACTTTGTGCCTAAACAATGACATCCTCAACCACTCTGATTTCAAATCTAACCGTGAATAATTATTGTGACCTTGTTTCAAAAGTACGAGGTCTCATTGTATACATTTTCTTCTTATTTAGTTCAGCAAGTGTGATAGTTTGCTTCATAATAACCAGTCTTGATTGATATTAAAGTCAATGTTTTTTTGAGGCTGAGTCTGCAACACTTCATACAAACTCATCAGTTCATTTGGGTTTTTGCTTCCTTTGTTATAGTTCCATTTTCCATCAAAATGTAAAGATATTAGCAGTCGTTGACATACTCCTAAGGGATAATGTTTGTTCATATGTTCAGAAAATATATAACTGAACTAAGAGCGTATAACACAACTAAGAGCCTTTTAAGGCTAAAACATGCATTCAAAACCCCATGCCTTTAAAGTATTACATCCATTAAACAGATAAAAAGAGAAACCCAAGAACCTAAGATTAAAAAAGAAGAAATCTAAATACCAAAAGCTAAAAAGACGAGCCCAACACCAAAAGGTCCAATGAAACAAAAAGAAAGTTCACCTGAATTTTTGCATCTAGGGCAGTTGCCATCTCAGTGCTATCAGAAACGGAAGCAACTCTTCGTGCCTGCTGACCCATGACCACGTTAAATTGTTTTACAATGAAATTTCACTGGAATTTTGGAACGCTTAGATCTAAGAGAACAGAAAAAAAACCAATAAAAAGGATAATTTGAAGTCATTCTACCTCTAGAGTAGCAATGCGATGAAGGGCCATCACAAGAGTCTCTTCTTTCAATCGACTGTAAAAGCCCAAAAAATCCAGCATTCCTTTGCTCGAAGAAGAAGATGCATCCTGAAACTCCCAATCTTCAGAATCTAAATCTCCATTACAATCTACAGAGGGGGCATCGAGACCTGAAATTCCAGAACCAAATGCCCGTGATTCCATAACACTTGAATTCACCCCATCAAACAATGACATTCCAGATTCAGAAACCCCAGAACGCAACACACGGCTCTGAGAAACCCCAGAATCAAATACCATAGAATTCATCGTATCCAATTTTGAAAGCCCTGAATCCAAAACCCTAGAATTCACCCCATTAGACCAAGAAGCCCCAAAATCCATCACCTCAAAGCGAGAAGTCCCAGAATCCTGAGCCTTAGACTTCAAGCCAGAACCCAAAGCCTCAGAGTTCATCCCAGAACCCAAGGCCTTAGAATTCACCCCAGAAACCGCAGAATCTGGAGGGTCAGAATTCACCCCAGAATAAAAAACCTCAGAGTTTAATTCAGAAACCAAGGCCTTAGAATTCGACCAAGAAACCCTAGAATCTGAAACCTTGGAATTCACCCCATCAAACAAAGAAACCCCAGAATCCAAAGACCTTGAATTAAATCCATCGAGCTCAGAAACCCCAAAATCCAAAACCCCAGAATCAAGAGCCCTGGAATCAGCCCCATTTGAAGCAGAAACCCTATATTGAATCACTGGATCAAGCTCTTTTCGATCCTCTGAAGCTATAGAGGCCACTTTTTCAGCCTGAGTGTAGAGGCTATCGATGAGGCTTTGAAGGCCAATAGAACCGGATTTAACGCTGAAGTTTTGTTGAAATTTGCTGGAATTTTGGGGGGAAAATTCAGGAAGTGGGGTGATGAGATCATCGCGCTCAGGCTCAGGCTCAGGCTCAGGTAGGCCAAAGAGAGAGAGAGGAATTGCATCGCGGCTTTTAACCGAAGGAGGGCAAGGGATCTCGTTGGCCGGAATCTTTCCAGATTCCGGCGAACTGGTTTTCCGGGCGACGTCATTTCCGGCAGGGGTAAAAACGAAATCACCCCAGTCATCAGAGGGATCAGGTGGGGATGCGAAATTGAATTCGCCAAAGGAATCGTCGTCGTCGTCTTCGTCTTGAAAGAGAAGGAGAGGAGGAGGAGAGGAGTTCTGTGTCACCAACATCACTCTCTAACTCTCTCTCTACATCGAGCGAAACTCCCTCTCGACTCTTGTTCTGGACTCGTCTCCTTATCGATCCCACGGTTCATTCAACTGTAAATATTAAAGGAAAATGGTTTCGCGCGACTACTAGGGGTTTCTGATGTGGTCTCGCGCGACTACCCAGCACCAGATACGATGACAAAACATTGGTGATCGATTGTATCTTACCTTTGTCGGATCCAATTTTTTAAAGGGTTTTGTTAGGCTACACCACAAGTGGTGTAGATTTTTGAAGCACATACCTTTGTAATTCAAAATTTTTCAAGTAAAAGTATTTTTGATCATTTAAAAAGATAAAATAAATGTTTTTATAAAAAAATAATGGCATTCTATCATAGTTAATAACAATTAATGCATTACACATCATATGGGGTGGTGTTATTGTCTACTATTATTAATAAATACTTTTATTTTTATTAAGAATTTCTAGTTTTCCCTTAATTAATTACTTAAACGGAAAGGTCTAAACAATCAAATTAGAGCCTACCTCGAAAATTTCACTAGAAGAGATTGTTTGATGTCCAAATATCCTCAAATTGATAATCTCAACATCAAGATGTATAGACATGAGAAAAAAAATGGATTTCAAGCTTTGGAAATAGTGTATTTTGTAATGTATTTTTGAACCCTCAATTTTCAAGATTTTCAAGTTTTTATAGATCTATCGAGATCTACACTATTTTTGAAGATTTAAACTTTATAAATAAAAATGAAATATATGTTAAGGCTATCAAAAAGATTTCCAGTTTTGAAACCATATTTCTTGACACTATTTGAATGTAGGCTCTGATTGTTTAGAGGGAGGGAGGCTGTTTCGGTACCTGGAAATCTATTATGTGATAATAGATTACAAGGAAATATGACATTTCCACAATTCGACTATACGTAATCGTAAATAATCGTAAAGAAATGGAAATAAATTAGGCGAGATTATAAAAAAAATAAAGAAATCCATTACGTGGTGATAGATGAAAAATCTACTACTGTTGAAGGATAATTTTAGAAAATCTTTCACATGCATTTTTGCTAACCCTATCCTGATTAAAAAAATAGCCCTCTCTCTTCATAATAAAAGGTGATCCCTATTTTTTTTTTTTAAGCTCTTCCCCTCGGCATTAGATGTCATATAAAAACAAAAATAATAAAAATAAAAATCAGTAATCAGTGATAAATTACACAACAAAATCATAATAAAAAATTTCACACAACATAATCATCATACGAGATTACTAAAATTTCAATTGAAATAATATACTTTTTTTAGTCTCCTCTAATACCTCAAAATTTTATAATACAATTACCAAATCTTTTAATTTACTAATTAAACTTCTTCCTAATTTTTAACTTGTACCATAGAGATTTTGAATTTAGTATCATAAATTTATTGTTTATTTAAAATTATATAGAGAGACATTTGAAAGACTTCTATAAAAAATAAATAAAAATAAAGCTTATCATAATAAAATCATGTTATTCTTATCATATTGTTCCAATGACTTATTATGTTGAAACCAATGTCATGTTAGAAAACATGTGATTCAATGTAAGTGCCAAAAGCCTTTAAAATAAGTAGTAAATGGTATCATGATGATTGAAAAATGGTACAAGTTATTATTAGAAAATCTTTTTGGAATGGTGATGATGTTATTATTAGAAATCGTTTTGGAATGGTGTGATGATGATATTAATTCCGTATTTTAGTAGAATTTATAAAAAAAAAGAAAAAAATGATAATTATGCATTTTAGTAGAATTTTGTGACAAAAAAGAAAGAAATGATATTTTATAAGGACCTGCTGATAAAATGTTGGTAATACATTTGCTATATTTCTTCCAGACATAACCAAACAATAATAATGTATTTTTAGGTATCCAAACGATTAATGTATTTCATAATTTTTGGGGAAATCACGAATAATCTCTTTTTATTTCCTTACAATAAATATACCCAAACGGTCGAAATATCATATTTCATGTAATAGATTTTCAGGTACCCAAACGACAAGTCTGGGTACTTGGAAATATATTCTCTGTGAAAGATATTACTGGCATAATACATTATTGCGTAACACATTACCTGTAAATGGATTGTCACTGTTTGGGTAGTATTAGATGAAACCTAGGAAATACATTATTACTGTATGAATATGTCCACAAGAAATATGGGAAATACATTTCCAACAAATTTTTTTTTTTTTTTTCTTTTTTGGCTTTATACCCAAAACTTTTTTGGCTTTATACCCAAAACATGGTTAAGCGTTCTTCTTTGGCTTTATACCCAAAATATGGTTTTATTTTCTTTTTTTGGCTTTATACCCAAAACATGGTTGAGCGTATAATCCCGATTAGTATGTTGCTTAAACTTTGTAATTGCATCAGGCATAAGAATTAGCCACACATTTTTTATATCTTTATTGCATCGGCATAAGAATTAGCCACACATTTTTTATGCCTTTATGTCCCATCATATTTTTGTTGTTTTCTTTTCTTGTGCTAAAGCCTTTCGATCATCTCTCAAGAAACCTTCCATGGGCAAATTCAAAAGAAAAAAAAGTTTGGAAAAATTTGGCTAGTAACTTAGAAGGCTTTATGATTAAATGAGATGCATTGGAGGAGAAATTATGTTGGGGCATTGAAGGAGATTGAAGAGGTAAATTAATTTTTTTTAAAATAAAACAATTCAAGCAAACTGATTTGACGATTCTCTATGAGTGATCTCAAGTATTTTGAAACTATCAACAAATAATAGCAGCAAAAGAGAAAAAATAACGCCAAAAAAATATTTTAGCAGAGAAGCCAAATCAGTTTTTTTTTTTTGGAACAATAGCTACAACTTCAAAGAATGACCTGTGTGATTTTTTATCAGGGAATACATTTTTTTTTTTTTTTCACCCTTTCTTTTGGCAAAAGATCACTTGCAGGTGGTCTTTATTATAATAAGGTAAATTTCAAAATAAAATCAACATAATAATAAAACCAAGATCTTAATAACTTGATGCCATTGAAACAACTATGCACTATGCTTGCCATTGAAACAACTCTGCGTTATGCTTGAGAATAAAATGTAAGATTGAAAGAAACAAAAAGAAGAGTGCCGGAGATTATTTCAACCGGGCTTATTACACCCCACACCGAGTCACCATCATCCGATGGCACGGGATCAACGGTTGAGCTTCAATCTCGAACCGGGAAAACAAATTTCGGCCAAACCACACCAATGGAACATGAATCCCTTTGATCACAAACTCAAACCCTATGTGAATTCTCTTACCAATCTAGTTTGAGACAGATTGATTCTCTTTTTGCTAAACCCTAAAACCCTTAGTCATAAATCTCAAATACCCTTAGCTATAAATCCATATTTGAGAGATAGAAGAGAAAAACTCCAACTCCAACCCTTAGGTTTGTTCACAATGTGGGAGAGAGATCAAACATAAAAGAGATAAACTTTCTTAAGAGAGAGATAGAAAGATAAGGTGTAGAGATTTTTTTGGTAGAGACAATCCTTTTTTATAGGCTTTGAATAAGATTAGGGTTTTTTAGGATTTTCTTTGGCTTGCCTCTTCTTGTGAGATTGAACATAGACCGTCGATCAAACGTGACTTGTGGGGTGAGAGATCTGAGCCATTCATTCCATCGATATGCCATCAACATTATAGAAGATGCATGAACCATTATCCCCTTTCATAAAGCATTTTCTCATCAATATAAATTAAATAAATTAAATCTAATCAAAATATTGTACATACCATAAAATAACACAACTCTATTCAATCTTTTCACAATATCTTTAAAAGATATATTAAGTCAATATCTTCCAACCATATGGCCATATGCCATATCACAAAAAAATAGGAAAGAGAATAAGGGTAGGGCGTGCCACCCAAGGGAGACACTCATGGGCCCCACTTCTAAAAATATGGCGGGCCCATGTGATAATGGCCCCCATGTGACAATGGGCCCATATGATATTTTTATATATTTAAAATTAATAAAAAGATTTTATAATATTATTTGAATATTTAAACAATTATAAAATCAATATCTTTAATTTTATTAATAAAAAAATTATAAATAAAATATCTAGGGGTTCATAAAAATTCAAATAATAATCTTAAAATAATTTATATCATAAAAGAAGTACAATTAAATTAATTTGATGGGAAAATGATCCATATGGTTTAGGAATCAACAATCATGTGGCACTCTACCTTCAACTGTGGACTACAGACCACACTTGCTTTATCATACCGACCTAGTGTTTCCCATGACCTACAGTCTAAGAGTGTTTCCCATGACCTACAGTCTAAGTAGGGGCTCATTAGCGGGTCACAAAAGTCCGGCCGATGAGCCAAGAGATCGCAATCCCAGTCTGTGGATTTCAGGTCCTCCCCTAGAGACAAGTCAAGGTCACCAAGGCCTTACACGACCACAGCTCTATGACGCATAGGATATCTCTCGCACATGCATACGCTTCACCTTAAAAGGTGGATTTTTGGCTTTTTCGAACGATCTATCAATAAGCATGCCGTGTGATGATACATGAATGAGGTTTTGGCTCCTGTCTTTGTAGGCCACCATCACACACAAAAGTCACAGAGTCCCTCGGCTCACTCATCCGGGCATATTTTCCGACCTCATCAAGGGCTAACCCATAAACCTTCATCGGTTTGTTCTTCATGCCCAGATAACATGGGTTTTTCTCAACCGACAGGCCTAGATTGTTAAGCATAAATTGGTATAAGCAAATCATCGTTTACTTAGTATGGTCTACGAGGGACCACACTCCCATTAAGTTCATGTTCCACTATATCATTTTATTTTACCAGCATTCATAAGGCCTTTCAATACCACATAAACCTAACACAACTGTCGTTGCAGAAACCAAAACATAAATCTTGGATATTTGGAAATAAACAATAGATACAAATGTGGTTGTAGAAGATGGTGCTGGAGGTACAGGATTTTAGCTGCTAGTTGAAGAAGATGGAACTTCTATGTGATTTGCTGCTCGTTGAAGAAGATGAGACTGCTGTGTGATTTATGATGAGAT